CCTAAACCCTAAACCCAAATGGTTCCCAAGGGAAGACTCGGCCGCCCCAGGTTCAAGCTTGCCACAGAAGTCAATATTGACATTCCCAGCAGCTCCCTAGCGCCGGCCTGGGAGTGCAGGGCCGGGGAGGCACTGAGACCTCAGGGACCCCTGAGTCTCAGGGGCACTTGGAGGTTCCTGGGTAGTTATAAGTGGGGTCATAACCAGTTATAACCCATATTAGGGGGACTTGTGAACCTACTTATATCTACCCATGAACCTCCAAGTAGGGGCAGAGACCGTCATGCTAGGCACTGTTCTCGAAGTTGTGATCGGGACCGAGTGTCCATGTAAGCATGTATCGACGACTGAGTTTGTGAACTCCAAGTGCCTGAGTCTCGAAACCGGCAGAAGTCGAGGTTTCTGACCTGCGCGAATTCCTCAACGATGCGAAGCTGCCTGCACCTCAAAGACTGTGAGAGGTCGCGCGGTTCTTCGGGTTTCCGGGCCTCGTGGAGAGACTTTTGAGCCAAACACACTCAAGAAGCCGCACGGATAAGTACAACTACAGTATAATGGGTCCCAAAACCCTATTCCTTATTATAATTACAGGACAATGGGTCCCACAACCCTATTCCTTATTACAAGTGGAGCTGGCCTTGGATGCGCAACAAAGGTCTGATGTCACTTTCATCGTGGAGGGAAAGCCAGTCATGCTGGCGCCTTTACGACGTGGAAAGATGCAGAGAGGTTGCGTTGTTTTTTTCCGAAATGCGGCTTCCTTCTAAGAGCGACGGATCCCCCAAGCCTCCACGCAAGTGTTTAGGAAAGGTAGGTGTGGGATTGTTTCAGGATTTGGCTTCCGGGCCCCTAGAGCCCTTGAAGTGGACATGCAGAGCAGTCTCCTGGCAGTTTCAGCTCCCTGGAGCGTTCAGGATCTATGACTGATCAAATGTGGTAGAAGCCTGAGAGAATATAGTAACGCCGTTCCTTAGAGTGGCTTCTTCTTGTTATTGTTGTACTCCGATTCTTCTAGCTGTTAAGGCTCCGACATATGATGTCATCTTACAGCACCGTCTGCAACGTGGGCCAGGAAGACTGGTTTGGCTGCGGGCTTCCAAAATGGAAGACTTGAGTTTGCCGCGGTAGCTCTTAGCTTGGGGGGTTCCAGAAGGCCCCCCTTCCCACAGAAGGAGGTTCATGGGTAGTTATAAGGGGGGTATATAAGTAGCGTAACTATAATTATAACCCCTATTAGGGGACTTATAACCCCACTTATACCTACCCATGAACCTCCAAGCACAGAAGGATCGATGGCCTCCGGGGGGGTTTCCAGCTTCGAGAGCTCCCATGATGAGGTCATGGCATAGCACCGCCCGAAATCCCAGTCTAACTGTTCAGGCTCCCTGTATCCACCCTGCACCCCGCAGTACCGAATCCCCTGGGTGCCCACGCCAGCCAGGTGTATGCACACAAGCTGCTCTGCATGCGATGTTCGTACTTCCGGGCCATGTTCGAGGGGCAGATGCGTGAGGCCCTGGGGTGAGGGCGCGCAGTGCAGTTGTTGCATCAGGCCCTTATTCCCGGAGTAGACCACTTTTGCACGAAGGGTGAGGGGGGTAAGGTGGCTGTCCACACAACTTGGCAGGCACAGCAGAAGACCATCACCATCAACAATGTCTCGCATCGGGTGTTCCTTGCCTTGCTGGAGTGCCCTCATCAAGAGGACATGCGGACAAGGGAATTTATTGTGGCGAGTGGTGGTTGCTGCACTCCTTTCTCAGGCATGCTTCCGAAGAAAGGGTTGCGAAATCCCGCGGCAGTTTTCTCAGAGGTTGAGGTCAGGTCGCTGATCGTCTCGGACGCCTTCCAACCCAGTCGCCAACGTCCGCAGAAAGAGTCGTAACGGTAACGCAGCACCTTAACCTCCTTCATGGCCCTCCGGGTTGGGTTGGGCACCTCAGGCATGTGGGTCATTGGTATCGCATCCAGTGTGGCAGCATGAGTCAAACAGCTATTCACTTCCCCAATGCATGAAGCCGCAAGTGCCTCTATGCCTGAGACCTGGACTCAACGAGCATTGTCGTGCAAGCAGCCACGAGAATTCCACGTCCGAGTTTGAGAAAGGAGGCCCAAACCTTCTACTAAACCCTAAACCCTAAACCCTAAACCCTAAACCCTAAACCCTAAACCCATAGTCCCCAGCAAGACAGCAAGCCTGAAGGCTCCAAGCACTCTGCCCACAGGTATTTGTACACAGATGAATTCGAAATCTCCATGGACATCGCGGGGGCCTGGGCCGACCTGAGTGCCTTTGCCTTTCTCTTTTCGTCGCAGTGGTTCGCCTTTTGGAGCGGAGCAAACCGGATGCATCTGCTGCGGTGGGAGGCCCAGAGTTTAGCTTCGGTTTATCCTAAACCCTGAGTTCTAACCCCTCGAAACCACTAAACCACTAAACCCCTAAACCCCTAAACTCCTAAACCCTAAACTCGACATCCTAAGCCCCTAAACCCCTAGACCCCGAAACCCCGAAACCCCTAAACTCGAAGCCCCTAGACCTAGAAACGCGGGTCCGAGGCGATGGACCTCTTCGTGGCGGCGGACCAGTTTGGTATCGATCGGCTGAAGAGGCCGGACTCTGAGTCGATGCTGGGCCCAGGCTTCATAATATACCATATACCTACTATATTATGATATATATATATATATATGTTTTTTTGATAAGGGCTCTATAAGGGGTACCATATACCAGGGTTTAGGGTTTAGGGTAGTTATAAGGTTCCTTCAAGGGATCTATAAGAGGGTTCTATAAGGGCTCTACAAGGGGTCCTATAAGGGGTCTATAAGGGGTCATACTTGGAGGTTCATGGGTAGTTATAAGTAGGGTTATAAGTTGGGTAACTATAATTATAACCTATATTAGGGAACTTATAACCCCACTTTTCACTACCCAGGAACCTGCAAGTATACCATATAAGGGAGTTTCTGAAAATAAGGGGGTGCCTTATTTTGGGGGGTCCTTATAACAAGGATCCTACTATTTAGGCTACTATCTTAGGGTCCCCTATTTCGGAAACCCCCATACCTACTATATTATGATATAATTTATGTTATGCCGTATACTATATATGAATATGCTTTGCATATGCTATAGACTTATGATGCTACATGCCATAAACGGCACACCATGTAGCATTTCCGATATGCTATGTGCTGTATAGCAGATACAGAACGCGACATGCCATGTGCTATGTCCGAAAACCATATACAAGACTGCAGGATGCAATGTCGTATTGTGCCACGCTACACTGGGCTGTGCTGAACTGTGCTGTGCAGTGCTGTGCTCAACTGAACTAAACCAAACAAAACTAGAGTACATAGTGTAGCATACTATACTACTGCGAGGCTATGCTCTGCTATACTGTACTACACTATAATATACTTTACTATACCATACTATACTATACTGTCCTTTGATATGCTGTATTATACTATATCATACTTGACTATAGTATACTATACTGTGCTATATCTTACTACATACTATACACCATATATTTTAAATTACATACTATCTACTATATACTACATACTACATACTATATACTATATACTATACAGCACATACTACATACTTTACCATATACCAAACTTTGCCTTCCATACCGTACTGTACCATATACCATACTGTACCATACTATACCATACTGTACCATACCATATCATACTGTACTGTATTGTACTACACAAAAGTATACTACACAAAGACCATACTACACAAAATTTAGCTACACCCCACTTCTCCCGTAGTATTATTAGACTGTACTACACTGTGCCAGACGTGTGTCTTGTTGTCAGAGTATAATGCAGCATATATGTATACTCATCCATCCATCCATCCAGCCAGCCAGCCATCCATAGATACATCCATGCACGCATGGAGATCTACATACGTGCATTCGTTCATCCATACGTGTATACATACATACCGTACATACCTGCATGCATGCGTGCATGCATGCACACATGCTTGTACATATACATACACACACCTTTAGAGCACGAATCCAAACAAATCTTATGGGGAATCCAATGCCCGAGTTTTGTGGCATTATCATCTGTTGTGTGGCAGCAGACTGAGACCTCTCATGTCCCTTTTCGATTAGGATGACTCCGGCAAAACCGTCGCAGCGCAATCAGGAGATGTCCGGAGTTCTGTCGTAGAGCTGTGCAGCTTCCTCTGCATCTCGCGCTTGCCGAGGTTGTGCGAGAAGAAAATTCTCGTTTCAATCAACATCGATAGCGCGGCTACGATCCTCCAGGCACTTTGTTGCTGCTCTTTTGGGTTTTTGATAATATCTGGGTGGGCTGAACCAAGAGTCTCTGGTCTGATACAGGCTCTGCAGGCTCGGCTAGGGTGAGTAATGGTCTCTGGGGTCTACAGAGCCGCAGTCGTCAGATACCTACCGGGACAACGGATCTTAACAAGCTTCCCCCGCTGTCAACCTAAAGCCCACACGCACCAAAGCTTTAACGCCTGGACGCCGAAGAGTGTATACTGAACCTCACATAGGCTCCGTCTCTCATGTATTGAAGTCATCATTCTTACAGAGACTGCACTGCTTCGCAGCCGCTGATAGTACTGGGGAGGGTGGTGAGTACCTGACAAAGTTCTCTTTGAGCTTGAGGTTTTAGCGGAAAAGTGATTCTGGTAAATCGCTTATGGTGCCGGGAAGAAGCCACGACCGTGGCCGGTGAGCTTTGCGGGTTGAGCTCCCGCCAGGCTGCAAACATGCACATTGCAAACGACTTGCGGCAGAGCTGCATGGACCCAAGAGAAAGGGAGGGGACAGATTTTGTTCTACTATCTTACTATCCCGAAAACGTTTGTCATCCTTTGTCCGGAAATTCTAGCCACTCAAGCTCAATCCAGTGTCCCTATGTCGCCAAAGCCTAGCAAAACCCTCTTGCATGGCAGAAGCTTGCTTAAACTTCACCCAGTTCTATGCTCTCTTCACGAGAGGATCTATAAATGTGGCATGACCGTGCGTTCCAGGGGGTTTACAGATCATAGGGACACTTCGCCCCAACGAGAACCACTGTGGGCAGCCCCCTGCGACTGTCCCAAGAATCGATGTTTGAAATTCGCCCAGGCATGGATTTCATTTTGAGGAACTTCGACGCTGTTTCCAAGACTCTCGCGTTCGAGGACGATGCTCAGAATTCAGGTTGCCGGGATCTTGCCGCGCAGTCCCCCTGTTGCTTTGAGGCACAACTAAGTGCGGTCCTTTCGATGCTGAGTCTCCTAACTAGAGCCCATATATCGGTTTGTGGCTTTATGTCGGTCTTATTGACGACCTCCCAGTTGATGTGATCAACTAGGAATCTCAGCCCTCTGCTTTGCCCCACTTGGAGGTTCATGGGTAGTTAGAAGGCTCCTTTAAGGGATCTATAAGAGGGTTCTCTATAAGGGGTCCTATAAGGGGTCTATAAGGTGTCACGTTTGGAGGTTCATGGGTAGTTATAAGTAGGGTTATAAGTAGGGTGACAAAATTAAAACCCCTATTAGGGGACTAAGATCCCCACTCAGAACTACCCATGAACCCTAAACCCTAAACCCTAAACCCTTAAAGGAACCCTATAACCCCACTTATGACTACCCATGAACCTCCAAGCAGAGAACACCATGCAGAGAGCCTCCGCCCAAGGCCCGGAAAGCCCTCAGCCCCCAAAAACCCCTCGAAACACACAATGTAAACCTTCGAGCACTGCATAAACTAACCCTGCCCCAAAGAACCCTTAACGGCCCTAAACCCTAAACCCTAAACCCCCCCAAAAAAAACCCTAGACCCTAAAACCCCTAAAACCCCTAAAACCCCTAAAACCCCTAAAACCCCTAAAGCCCCTAAAACCCCTAAAACCCCTAAAACCCCTAAACGGCCCCAAGGCCTCAACGCCTACATCAGGAGATGGGCCGATCCAATGTGGAGCTCGTTTTCGAAATCTTGAAGCGCCGATGAAGGCGCGCAGGGTCCTTTCTGCCCTACTCTTTGTGGGACCTCCCTTAAAGAGTAGTATAGGGTTCTATAGTAGGGTCCCCTTTAAAGGGTAGTAGAGGGTTCTACCTCCCTTAAAGGGTAGTATACTTGGAGGTTCATGGGTAGTTATAAGTGGGGTTACAAGTCCCCTAATATGGGTTATAATTATAGTTACCTTACTTATAACCCACTTATAACTACCCAGGTTCTATAATAGGGTCCCCTTTAAAGGGTGCTGTTGGGGTTCTACGGAGGGGAGGGGGGCCGTCTTTGTTCCTGAGTTTGGGCGTGCAGGCTGTAGGTTTTGCTTTAGCTTGAAGCTATCGGGACATTCTCACCCTTCATCATAACCAAAAAGTAGATCCCTTAAAGGGGAACCTTTAGTAGTTAGGGTCCCAGATTAGGTGATCTACTTTTTAGATCCTTCCGGGGGTCTGGGAATACGAAGCCCTGAAGAACGCTACTGGCAATTAAATACTCTTCTGCTAGAAGCATGTTACTTGGAGGTTCATGGGCAGTTATAAGTAGGGTTGGGTAACTATACTTATAACCCCAATTAGGGGACTTATGACCCCACTTGTAACTACCCATGAACCTCCAAATATGACCCCTTATAGACCCCTTATAGGGCCTTGTTGAGATCTCAGGTCCACTTGTGT